GGGGGAAAGATTAACCACAGAACTTATCTATAATAATCTATACTAATAAAAGGGTAATATGCTAATTAGACCGGACATCTTCTGGACAACCTTCCAGACATCCTTCCTGACAAAGCCACAGTGGCAGGGCCGAGGCAGAGGCAGTAAGGGGCGATCAGGCCAGCAGGAGAGAGTAGTTAGGGGAATCGGACCAGCAGGGGAGAGCAGTTGGAGGTGATCAGGCCGGCAGGGGAGCAGTTAGGCATCGATCAAGCTGGTAGGGGAGTGGTTAGGGGATGATCAGGCTGGCAGGCAGAGGCAGTTAGGGGCAATCAGGCAGGCAAGTGATTGGGAGCCAGCAGTCGCAGATTGTGAGGGGGATGTCCGACTGCCCCCAAGGGGTTCTAGATTGGAGCAGGTACAGGCTGGGCTGAGGGAGCCCCCCCTCCCCCCAAGTGCACAAATTTTGTGTACCGGGCCTCTAGTCTATAATAAGAAAAGCGTAATATGGTAATTAGACCAGAAGTCCTTCTGGATGACATTCCAGGTGAAGCTGGGGCTGTGAGGGAAGCCAGGGTCCTGGGTGCCAGAAGGAAGCCGGTTCTGGCAGCCAGGGGAAGGAAGGCCTACTCTTACACAAATTTCGTGCATCGGGCCTCTAGTTTTATATAAGGGACTTGAGAACCGCAGATTTTGGTACCTGGGGGAGTCCTGGAAGCAATCCCCTGTGGATATTGAGGGATGACTATACAAAATCAGTCACAGAAAAAGACAAGTCTCTCCATTTACAATGTCTATCCTCTCTGCACCAAATTTTCTCAGTGTATAGAGTGCTTAGTTTCTCAGTAATTTTTCATAACACTCCTAATCCCCATCCCCCCAAAAAATCTAACAGTCCTGTTTTTTTAATAGTTTGGCCAAAACAACTTAATTGTTGCTTGTGCGCTGTCAGGCAGATGTCACTGTGTTTCTCTCAAAAATGCAAAATATCATGCAGTGCCTTCAAGTCTACTATAGCTTCCTAGAGCACTTCAATACCCAATTTGGCAACTGTGGTTTTGTAACAAAAATACTGATCACAAACACTATTAAACTACTGGTCACAAAACAAAGAACTCTGAAAGTGTGTATGTGTGTATACATAAACATCCCCCCCCCACACACACACATAATAAATGGATTTTAAATTCATATCCCATTTAAAAAATTACTTACATTGATATTGGAGATGGGACAGTCCTTTTTGGCAAATTTAAATGCAAAATAGGACACTTGAAATATATCAGGTCTACGCTCTGGATCTGGTTCAAGCATGAATCCTGCAAGAACAGGTTAAAATGTTAACAAGTTTCACTGAACACCAAAAGTAGATAGGAGTACATTAAAAGGAGTGTGTGTGTGTGTGTGTGTGTGTGTGTGTGTGTGTGTAGACAGACAGATACCTTTTTTTCCATTCTAAGGTTAGTGATGAATCAAGCAAATCTTAACATTTATAGAAAATATAAAAATTGTTATTTATATATGAACTTAAAGCAGTATTACAAGCTAAAGACAACTCAGTCATAAAGCAGGTCTGTACCAGAAGCATAATTAACAAATATAAATGTTCTTTTAAGAAAATTAAACAAAAGTGAGTTTAGTGAACACTGGGAAATTATTCATGAAAATTCTAGGGCGATAGTAGGGGTCCTTAATATCACTATTACATAAAATACCTTTACTAAATTTTAAGTAATCCCAAATCACTGAGAAAAGACTAAATTGTGTGCATTAAAAAGTAGTAGAGGGTTGACAGTATTGTTTTCCAAAAACATGCTTTCTTCCCATACTGATAGTAAGAGTATTTACCACAGTTCTGTATCTCTACATATTCTACACATAATGTTCACTCTATTATAAAGAGATTTCACACCAACCTTACAGCATTGCTTGAAATGCCTGACCTTTTTTCTAACCAAAATGACCATACCATTTATCTGTTAATTTACAATTTCACAAGAAAGCTGGCATTTATACTCAACTCACTTCTTTAACTGAGAAATTCATATTTTGTTAAAACTCTCCATGTTCTGACTCTGATTTATTAACGAATTATAAGTTCTTAAAATGTTTAAATCATTTTAAATCTATTTGGAATGTAAGATTTACAATATTAATTAGATAATATTCTGAAATTTGCTAGTAAGATTATATTCAGAGGTCATAGTATATAAATAGCTAAATTAAAATTATAAATCAAAATTAATTAATATTTGACAAAGGAGGCAAGAACATACAATGGAGTCAAGATAGTCTCTTCAATAAATGGTGTTGGGAAAATAGGACAGATACATGCAAGAAAATGAAACTAGATCACCAACTCACACCATACACAAAAATAAACTCAAAATGGATAAAAGACTTAAATATACGACGGGAAACCATAAAAACTCTAGAAGAATCCAAAGGCAACAAAATCTCAGACATATGCCGAAGCAATTTCTTCACCG